TTGGAGATGACAACATATTTGAAAGAAGGGGGCTACATCAATGCGGAGAAAGAAGAGAAACCCCATTCGTCCGTGGCCTCGTACTATTCTCGTTTCAGACGGTATCATGTCGGTTACTTTATCTCAGGCCTGCGTGACCGGCCCATTGAGGATCATTGTCTGTGGAAATACTTCTGCTGATATGAAGGCCGATAATCTCGTATTAGAAAGCGACCTGTCCTTTCTAGGACTGCCATGTCGTCGTTCTTGTCCATCTGGTGGTCCTTCACAGAATACATCCATTATGAAGATGGAGTCTACATTGGGATACAGATTCCGACGTCAGGCGAGTCTTCAGAGGATGCAGTGTCGAGTGGAAACTTCATGAGGGATGTGTAAACCCACGATGTCAACAAACTAGACAGGGACTTTTGGTTTCCTTCCTCTGTTGTCCCTGCCGACGAAGTTGACATAGCTATCCAAGAGGATAATATTGCTAGACATCAGCCAGTGCGTGCACCGTCTCCAGTCCATCTCTTCTAGGTTGACACTGAGTTCTCATGCATAATCATTTAAAACCTTGAGTTTTGTACACAACTGGCAGCCGAACCCCGGTGCTTGTTCACCTGAGGTTCCTCTCAAACATCACATTTCTGCCTTCCGTCACCCATCTGACATTGAGACCGCTTTCTGGGCTAATCAACGCGACCCACATGGCCGCATATCATTCCCTTCGAATTTCACTCATTCAACTCATTCTACCTCTGACGGAAGGTTGTCCATCTTCTGCGAAAGTTTTATGAGTCTGCCTCCAACCAGTAACTTGTTAATGAAATTAAATGACTCAGAGATCGTGAACATGACGAGTGCCAACCTTAGGACCACGGATGCATTATTCATATGGTAATTTTTTCTTCGCAGTGTGGAAATGTAACGCCCCTCGCGTTTGGCGTTCCACTGCGAAGCAAAACGAAGTCGTTGACACCATACATCATATTTATGCTTCGGAAATGCAGGAACCGGACCAAACCAAAAAAATGCCCTGTCCGTTATGCCTCAAAACTAGGTCAGACATTGATCAACATCACGCTAGGCAGAGAAGAACTCCTGTGAAAAGGGGCTTGGACAGTGAGCCCCTGGGGATAGCCCTTGATGGCACCGGAAAATCAAGTTTGGCTAACGGTGGATTGCGTGATTGAGCGAAACTAACAGGCAAAAGGAAAAGGCGCTGGATCTCTATGATACCTCGTGACTGGTGTGCAAAAGTCTTCCACATAACTTGAATTATGTAAGGACCTCGAAAGAAAATTGATGCGATCCGTACCAACAAGCAAGGTTAATGTCGACGCCAGGTGACAATTCCCAAGTTCAGTGACGTCGACGTTTTGACTTGAACCGATCACGTGAGGCTCCCGCTCACTTTCATAGCCCATAGTCCTCTTGAACTATCGGCTTCATATCCCAAATAGTGATATCACAAGAGTGTGTGTTCGACGCAAGGTAATCACCATTGGACGAGAAAACAACCTAGATGCTTCAGTTCCATTCAAGTTATGGTTTCTGCGCCGTCGTTTTCCAAGATCCCACAGATGAATGTCTCCTTTGCTCGCGACAGCAACAAAGCTGTCCCTGGCGGACAGTGCAATAGACAAAATCTTATCAACCTGAAGATCAAGAGGATCTCCAGCAGGACGCCCGCTTTCTATTTCCCAGGATCGGACCCACTGGGCCACGACCCTCTTTTCGAGTTATATCGAACCGAATTCGGAGTCGCTGAAAACCCCTATTTCGAAGGCTACGAATTCGATTCACTAGATTTTGAACATCTTAAGCAAAGCTGGCTCCGATGCCGTTGACAGGAACATGCCGACGATGGAGAGATATTGTCGTGAACATGCCCAGTTTATGGTCCAGGCTGTTTGTCCAACCCGGCCCACAGGGACTGGAAAAATGCAATATGCCGACGATGGAGAGATATCGTTGTGAACATGCCAGCCATCTCGTACGGTTTATGGCTTAGGCGGGGGTGTCCACTCGTTAGCAGCCGGTCACCTGTCATATGACGCGATCAGGCTAAGAGACCTGCTTCATCCTTGCGCAATTCAAATCTCGTCTCTTCGATTTGCATTGGACGATACCCGACGAGCTGAACTTTTATTCCAAAGCTTCCGAGCACTTCAGGAGTTTACGCTGGAAGTGCGCGGCTATCATGAAAAAGTAGCTGTCGCACGTTTTATCTCAGGACTGCAATCCACCTTACGCCATCTCCAATTCAAACGGCTCATAGTCCATCCATTGAATTACAGCTTCTCTACTTGCAATGTATGAACCCGCCTGACAAATATCGAGATCATAGTAGATCAACCGGATGAATTCCTCCACTTGCTCCACCTATGTCCTAATCTCTCCTTCTTAGAGATCTGCCTGCGCTTCGGAGATACAGTTATCCGGTCCTTCGAGCCATTCACGCACACGAATCTTCAATTCATGTCCATCAGTCGGCCTGTGTGGGATAGACAAGGCTCAAATTCTGGCGCTCACGCTCCCTAATTTACGCATGCTTGAGGTTTGCGATGCAGGACCGCGGCCTCACGAGAAGTTGATGGCATTCTTGAAACGATCAAATTGACCCCTGGAGTCCCTAATTTTTGGCGCTGGAGTGACGATGGCAGATGAGCGGCGAGTGGGATACATTGCCCTCATCCCTTTCCTTTAAAGTAGTATTGGACTCCAGCCGTCGTGTGATATCTATATCCGAATTGGCGAATGCATAGCGTGCGTGCCGCGAGATACTTGATGTCTGACAGACCGCTGTGGTTCACCCCTTCAAGTTCGCGATGGAGCACGCATCTGAGGTCTGAAGGATTAATCACTCATTTACACTTCCATACAGGTGCATGTGCCCGGGCCATATGGTGACAACAACAACACTATGTACCATTCCGCACAAGCACCGTCAAGCCGCACAGGTGGATTGTTTGTCCAGCATATTTAATTGTTGGGTGAGAGCAGTGTCCGCGCGCCCGTTGCTCGCGAAGGACGCGGAGCTTATTTTGAACGCGACAATAACCTTTTCGGTGCCGGTGAAGGTCTCTATGCAGAAGAAGAACATGCAGTACATGGCTGCAAAGCTGGGTGACAAGAAGGCTCACGAGATGAGCTAGAGAGGATGTGAAATTTAAATGTGCCAAGTCAACTTCTTGTATAAAGGAACCCAGAGAGAGAGAGAGAGAGAGAGAGAGAGAGTTTACGATTTTACTTCCCGATCCACGTTTCATTTGATGCAGGCAGAAGTCAGATTTCTCTGCCCCCCTCGAAGTCCGCACTAACCTTCTTCAAGTGAGGCATCATCGAGCCGTATTTTGAGGCGGAGTGTTTCAGTGCCAAAGAATCTGGACTTTGCAAGCAGCCTTGTGCCATGGCCTCGGCTTCTTGATGTCCAATATGTTCAATTGTTAGGTGAGAGGAGTAAATGTGTACTCGTTGCTTGCGAAGGAAGCGGGGCTCTCACCTCATCCACATTCATTCATAATTCTAGCATTGATTTGCAAGGGAAGTTACGTCTCGTCTCGGACTCTGATCAAGCAGAGCGCATCAACTTGGCTATCATGATTTATGATTTGCGCCAGCCCCTCCCATCGTCTACCATTACCTCTGTCAACCTCTGTGATGAGCTGCCTTTGCGTTGTAGTCCTGCCAGTGCTGGATCTGACTTACAACTTCGTTCACGTGACGAAGTCGCGTCGCGTCGCGTCTTGGAAGAATCATGATGGGGACTCTCCATTGCCGAGATACTACAACGCGCCCAGTAAATAAGTACCCAAACAACAAAAAGAAGCATGGAATCAAATGTCGATAACGAGCATAGCGAGCAAGGGGGAGATAAGTAGTGGCAGGAGACTAGCTTGAAAAGTACAGAGACAGGGGGAAAAGATTAGTGAAACTGGATGGATATGCGGAGGACCAAAAATGCAGCGGGGAATTAACTGGAACAGTAAATAGGTGAGAAGCATGTACGAGAGCAAGAGCAAGTGCGCAACCAGGCGCAGTCATGTCCAAAGTTAAACATCAGTGGCGCTCATCCGTAGGTGCGCGTTTAATTTTCTTTCATCTCTTCATCGATAGTGTGTCCAAAATAACACGTCTGAGCGGGACTAGAAGAGATAGGAGGCGTCATTTTTGAGGTGAACTGCATCGCAGAGTCAGGACTGAGGAGTCCAGGAGTGTTGGAGTCCGAAAACCAGTTCGTGAAAGGTTGGCGAGGGGGAGGTATGATGAATGCCGGAGGAGTGAGAGTGCTCGTATATTTAGTGGATGGAGATGGTGGTGGGAGTGCAGGAAGAGGGGCAGTGGGAGGCGGAGCGAGTGGGACGGTTCGTTTGACTGCACGACGCAGGCTGCACGGCATAGCTTCAGGGATACGTCTAAGTATAGAGAGCGGAGTTACTCACCGCATGGGAGCACCTGCATTCAGGCTACCACTTCTCAGTCTACTGAAAAGGCTGTTGCCTTCGGAAGCACCCTCAGCGATGCTGCCCGCACGACTGCGACTGGGTGACATGACGCCTGTTCGCTGGAGAGCAAAACCGGCATTTCGTGTGGGGGACTTGATGAGAGCCATTGGGTTCGCGGCAATGTTAATGCTACTGCGACGTCTGCGCATGAGAGGACGTTCAGCATTTGCAGCGGGCACGGCAATGACGTTGGTGCCACTGGGAGTGGGAGTCACGCTCAAACCACGATCGACAGGGTCCATAGGACTGGATGGCATGGGCATTGGGGAGGAGGGAGGAGCAAGAGTGTGGGCTCTGGGATGGTAAGGTGCAAGGAGTCCAGAAGAAAAGAACGCAGAATACGCGACCATCATAAAAACTTGCTAAAGGAAAGTTGGAGAGGTTGAAGATGAAGTAGGTCAAAGTGAAAGAGCAAGTTGAACCAGCGCCAGATGATAGATGTTGAGTTTTCTCCATAAGGAATCGGATATGTCCGTGTCATGGTGACCTTACTGTAAGAAAAAAAGATGGCCAACGTGGGGATCGAACCCAAGACCTTCGCGTAGCAACCACGATGGCGAGCCCCAGGGTGAACAGAAGCTACCTACGTGATTGTATTAGCACGACGCTCTAACCAACTGAGCTAGTCGGCCATGCTTCCGCCTCAACAAGGAAGGTAGAATTACCGCATTTGGGTATGTAGTCCTAAGTTCACCACATTGAACAACGACCGCGCTCGACGCTCGTATCCCTGGCCCACCATGTTCTTCATCGTGAGTACCCCTCTCAGCACTGTTCATTCCATCGTAAAATAATCTCCAATCCCCAGAAAGAACTCTCGCACACAATCCTCCTCCATCCCTCCTACTTCGGCCCTAGGATGCTCCAGTTCCTCGAGTCCAAACTCTACTCAGACGTAGAAGGAACTTGTTCAGGTGCATTCGGATACATCATCGCCGTCGTCTCCATCCTCGATATCGGAAAAGGAATGGTGCTCAGCGGAAGCGGTCAAGCAGAATTCATCACCCGTTATCGTGCAATAGTCTTCAAGCCTTTCAAGGGAGAAGTGGTCGATGGCGTCGTAAACAACGTGAACAAGGTGCTCGTGATCCATCTTCCATTCATAGCGTACTGAAACCACCCGTAGATGGGCTTTTTCGCTGACGTCGGGCCGTTGACGGTCTTTGTGTCACACCAGGTGAGTTCCACCTCTGCTTTCTGCTTGATTCAACTTCACCGCCCTTTCTAGCTGATACATCCAGACATGAAATTTGATCCAACATCAAATCCCCCTTCTTTTGCCTCAGACGACCAGGTATCGTCCATCCACATGTCTCTCGTTCCCCTCATATCCTACCTTTCACTCGAAACAGATCATCGAGAAAAACACTCGCGTACGACTAAAAATCGTTGGAACTCGCGTTGATGCTACGGAAATCGTGAGTCCATCTTTTTTGTTGTGCCTATCGTGACCGCTCATGCAAATGCATCGCTAGTTTGCCATCGGAACGATCAAGGAAGATCACCTTGGTGTTATAGACTAATGAAAGAAAAAAGGTCGAATTCGGACGATCACCCCATGTATACCTGCTATCCCTGTATTCGCTGTGTTATCTACTGCCAGTATACTAACGCCATCCTCTTAATCCAAGCTCTATTTCGCACTATGATAGCAAAGCAAAAAGATCAGCATACATAGCAAAGCAAAGGCACTACACCATGTATGTTCTATTAATATATAAGTAGTCGATATGATTTCCGCCCCTGCTCATTCCTCATCCTCAAACCGTAGGATCTGTGCATCCTCGTCTACAGGTACATCCCTATATCCACGTCTTACTCTGTAGCCCATCGATACAGCATCGAAGCTTGACGCTACCCACTCGAAAGCGATACCCGCGAGTCCAAGCAGGAACCATGGTACAGAAGCCAGCGTAGCAAATGCGCCTGACCCAGAGGATCCCAAACGCGAGTAGTCGCCTCCATACCCACCTCCAGGTAAACGGATCGTCCTGTGTATCACCGGACCAGTAAGAATACCAGGCGACATCAAAGTAAAAAAAAAATACTCACCCTCTTGCCATCCCACTCTTCTTGTACCACCACCACGCGACGAGTGCTGTGGTAACAAAGGGGAACAGAATTGCCACCATCCAGAACATCGCGCTGTGGCCTTTGATACCAGGACACAGGTGTGATTGGCCTCGGTCTATACGGTCGCCGCCTTCACAAGTAGAGTAGAGCACCTTGTGGTAAGCCGTGCGGTCGTACCAATAGTCTTCGTCATTGCGACACGAGTCATCCGCCGGCCGTGGTTCCATCCCCGGCACGAGAGCACATTCACCTAGCTGGTTGCGGACATAGTTGAATTCACTGCTCAGATTTTAAATTAGCTCTGAGCGAGTGATGTTACGTCTACGACTCACCATTCGAAGTCCTCTATCGTACATGTGCAATTCCGCACGAGGCTGTCGAGTGCCTTGGGTTTGTCTCCAACCACACAGTTCACGTCGCGTTTCCGGCGATGGTAAAGCGTCTGCACAATAGAATGAATACCAACAGAAAACTTCGAGTTCAGGCATCCCACCTGTCGTCCGAACAAGCAAAGTTGGGCTCGTTCCTCACTAGGGCTCCACAGCTCAAAGTCATCATGTCCCGGATCTTCAACATCCACGACGCCTAACAGAATCAATAATCAATGAACGCAGAGAAAAAAACAGCTCAGCCTGCTTACATTGTCTATGCGTCAGAGACGAAAAGTCCAAATGCACAATCACTGATCCCCCAGACCCAGGATATTTCCCTAGGAGCGTAAATTTGCGGCTCGTATCCTCCGGCACTGTCATAATGTCCTTCACTCTGATCTTCTCGTTCGAGAACTTAAACTCGCGCCAATTGAGCCCTTCGTCCGTCGTAAACAAGACATGGTCCGTTGGCTCCTCATCGTTGACGATGACGATGATAGAGCCCGAGTCGCCAAATTCCCACAGATGCGCGTCCTTGTGTACTTCTTCCCATGTGAACCCTCCATCCCGGGACAGGAACGTATCGCTCTCCGTGTATGAAGCGAGCACTTCGCCCACGTTGCCGACTGCCATCACGACCCCGACAACCGATGGGCTGCTATATGTCGCACGGGCATCAAAGCGCTCCGTGTATCCGTGAACATGAAGCCCGCAACCCTAGACACGAAATGGGTCGGCCTGTAACAACGCTTTTGACAAACAAACACGACATACCACCGATGAACAGGAATACTTCTGGCCCAGCGAATCTGCCGCAGGGGGTGAAAGCGACTTCCAACTGCCACCTAAACACGACAATGAATCGACCATGAACCGATTTCAGCGCAAAAGCGTACCATCATTATGCGTGATCCTTGTCTGCAGAAGCTTGCGCCCCGTGAGCGCAGCCTCTGCAGGATTCGCCACCACGTTGACCATAGCGATCCCGTCCAGCCCTTGGAATTTCTCAAAGTCCACAAAGCCGGCATTGTTCCTGTTCACATTCTCAATGGACACCCCAAAGTACGTTCCATTGGAATTCGATTTGAGGATGTTGCCCCAAGGTGCGGGCCACTCGTTCATGGTCATGTGTAGGAAGATGGCCCTCGTGCTTGATTCGAGAACGGTGTATGCCTAAGAGACGTGATTAGCCATTCTCAAGGGGTTCAGAGCGATGGAGCCTACGTACGTGGGAATCCGGATGCATGCCGGGAGGGAACTGCCCAGGAGCAAACGTCCGTCCGTCCAGTGACACCTGGAGGTTAAGCGCGCCTCTCGCTGGAAGGTACTACATAACCACTCAAATCAACCAAACGCACGCACGCACAAAACGTAAAACCAACGAACCTCCGCCACGATTAAAAACTCTGAAAACTTCGTGAACCCCACAACATGATCAAACAGCTTCGTCTTCCTCGCAAAGTAATCCGTCCCTGACACCAGCTGCAATGCATTGTTGTCCTTGCCGAAAAACCGCTGCGAGCCCTGCTTGTTTTCATACGACTCGCACAGGATCTGCGATGGATCGATCCGCAGCTCGTCGTCGCGCGCCCAGTCACAGTTGACGACGTAGTCCTCTACGAAATGCCAGTTCCTCCCGTGGTCGCTCGTATACTGTGCCTGTGCGCGACAGTGATCACTACCTATTTCGCAGTCCACGTTGCCGATCCAGATGAGGTTGTCGCTTTTTGGGTGGAAACGAAGCACCTGCGCACCGAAGGTGTTGGGTGGCGAAGGGGTGCTCAGGGAATACCAGAAGCGACCTACGTCCGTTGTGTAGTAGAACTTGTTAGTTTCGGTGATGAGGTACGCGCGGTCGTTGGTGTGTGAGTTCATGTAAAATGCTAGGAAGCGCTCCTCTGGGTGCTGTTGTTCCCAAGTATAACCCTCGTTGCTGGATTGCCATATCGTGTAGTCAGAAAGACGGACAAGGACGGTCTACAGAGGCAGACGTGAGCTAATGCCTTAGATTCATCAAGGCACTAGACTCGCCTTTGAATCCTTGAAATACTCGCTCTGCACAATATCAGCGTTAAACGGATGCTGTGATATCATAAGTCATCCGCTCTGTGAACAAAAGTGAGAACAGAAACACACAATCTGGTGAACGATTTCGCCTTCGGCAGGTTCAGCTGGAATGACGTATCAGATATAGAACCTCTGCAACTTCTGAATCACTGACCTCCGGAACATTCCTTGGACACAGGCTCGTCCATACGGAGGCCGCCCTCACATTTGTTCCCAGGAATCTTGCGATATCCAGATGATCCCATGTACGTCTCGTCAGGCCTCCCAAGGGTGCACTGGGTGCTGGGTATGCGCTCTGGACCCGAAGGCACGCATTTACCATTACTCCGTACGAAGTTGTAGTCACTGAAATACCCCGTGAGCGGACGCAGGACGAGAGGCACCAAAAAA